ATCACCATCACCGTCACCTTCACCATCACCATCACCATCACTATCACCATCACCATAAACATCACCACTATCATAACCATCACCATTATCATCGTCATCATCATCATCATGATTGCTGTCATTCTTATTACATAATCAGCACCATTATCATTATCATCACCATCGTCACCACCATCGTCATCATCATCATCGTCATCATCATCATTATCATCATCAGTATCACCATCATCATTATCATTATCATCATTATCACCCTCATCCTTCTCATCATCATCACCACCATCATCATCCTCATCCTCATCATCCTCATCCTCATTCTCATCCTCATCCTCATCCTCATCCTCATCTTCATCCTCATCCTCATCCTCATCCTCATCCTCATCATCATCATCATCATTACCACCACCACCATCATCATCACCACCATGATCACCATCATTATCGTCATCATCTTCATCATGAATATCAACCTCAGTACTTGTGGTTGTCGTTGTTTTGGCCATCATATCATCATCACCCCACTCACGATCATCATGATCAGCAGTAGCAGCAGCACCATCACCGCCATCATCTCCATCATCATCACTGTCACTATCACCATCACCATCACCATTACCATCAGTACCGTCGTCATCATCATCATCACCATCATCACAATCATCAGCATCAGCATTGTCATCATCATTATCATCATCAGCATCATTATCATTATCACCCTCATCCTTCTCATCATCATCACCACCATCATCATCCTCATCCTCATCATCCTCATCCTCATCCTCATCCTCATCCTCATCCTCATCTTCATCCTCATCCTCATCCTCATCCTCATCCTCATCATCATCATCATCATCATCATTACCACCACCATCATCATCACCACCATCATCACCATCATTATCGCCATCATCTTCATCATGAATATCAACCTCAGTACTTGGGGTTGTCGTTGTTTTGGCCATCATATCATCATCACCCCACTCACGATCATCATGATCAGCAGTAGCAGCAGCACCATCACCGCCATCATCTCCATCATCATCACTGTCACTATCACCATCACCATCACCATTACCATCAGTACCGTCGTCATCATCATCACCATCATCACCATCATCAGCATCAGCATTGTCATCATCATTATCATCATCATCATCATACTCATCATCATAATCATAATCGTCATCGTGATCGTAATTGTCATCATCATCATCATCATCATCGTCATCATCATCATCATCATCATCATCATCATCATCATCATCATAGTCATCGTCATAGTCATCGTCATAGTCTTTGTCATCGTCATCAGCATCGCCATTGGTATTATTATTAGTGGTGGTATTATTGTTTGATTTTTCTGTAACTGTTTTGGCTCAGGGCCTACTGACTGGCTACCGGCAGGCTCGACGCAGCGCACCGCACCGCACCGCCCACATAAGAGGAGCAATGGACATCGACCTGCTCCACCCGGACCCCAAGGAGGAGAAGACCAGGCACAAGCTGAAGCGCATGATCCAGACCCCGAACAGCTTCTTCATGGACGTCAAGTGCCCAGGCTCGAAGAAGAACAAAACAGCATAAACATAAACTTTTGGCCTTCCACGCAGATTTCTCGGATCCGCGCTGGGCCCCCCTGGCGGCGCCTCCGGCGACGAGCCCTGGCGCGCTCCGCGCGCCAGGGAGGGGGGTCCAGCGCGGATCCAAGAAATCCTCAAGGAGCGCCAAAAAGTTTATGTTTGTACTGTTTTCTTCCCTTCTGCAGGCTGCCTGCAGATCACCACCGTCTACAGCCACGCGCAGACGGTGGTCCTCTGCGGAAACTGCAACGTCATGCTCTGCCAGCCCACCGGGGGACTCACCCGCCTGACGGAGGGCTGCTCCTTCCGGAAGAAGGCCGACTGAGAGCGGGCCCCCGGGGTGGCGCCTGCGCCGGTGGAGGCTCCTGGCCTTCCGCAGAAAAGCGTCCCTTCCTCCTTCTCCTCCTCCTCCTCCTCCTCCTCCTCCTCTTCCCTCCTCCCTCCTCCTCCTCCTCCTCCTCTTCCTCCTCCTCCTCCTCCTCCTCCCGCCAGAGGCCCAACGCTCCAACAAAGGAAAGCTGGAGCGAGCGGTTTCTCGCTGTTGTCGGCCTCCGGGGGCCCCTGGCGGGGCCTCGGGGCCGTCAAGAAGCGGCGTCGCCGGACGAACGCCCGGCCCCACGGATGCGGGTCCAGACCTCGCGGGCCCACGCATCGAGAAAATTGGAGCAGCTGGATGTCTGGGCTCTGCGTCCCTCCCTCCCTGCGTCCCTCCCTCCCCCAAAAAAGGCGCGCGGGCACTCGAGCGGGTCCCCAAACCCTGTCACGCAGGGATACCCCCGGGCATTGGGGTTCTGGTCCAGGGTCCTTCGCCAGCCACCGCCTGGACACGGCCCTTTTTGAGGTCTGGCCTGGTGGCACTCCTGGCCTGGCTCTGTTCCTGCTTATTAGTTAATGCAGCGCCGGTGCCGCTGACCCTGAAGGGGGGAGGGCGACGACGGCGGCGGCGGCGACGACGCTGACGCTCTGGAGCCCTTCTGAAGGCTCTCTTGGGAGCTTATTGGGCTCTGTTTGGGGGGCCTCTTGGGGGACTTCTTGGGAAGCTCTGTGGTCACTTGGAGCCGCCTCGGAGCAGAGCTGAGGCCTCCTGGAGGCATGTCAAAGCCCGAGCGGTAGATGAGGGGTCCTCCGGACCCTCTGGGGAAAGTGTGAGGGCTAGCTTGTTCTCCTCTCGCGGGTTCCCCACCGCGAGTCTCCAAGCTAGCTAGTGCCCAAACGGCAGCGGAGTGAGGCAAGAAGCACTGAATCAACACTCCCACAACTTAAAAGTTGCCTGAACTCCGACTTTGGGCTCAGCTTTGACTGAACACCTTCACAGCACACATAACATTTCTTGGGCACGGCGCACGGGAAGCGAAAGCTACTCAGATGACGATCACCTAGTGGAGCCGGTCCTCCGAGGCTGACGCCTTGGACGTGGGGGCTCCCACGCGGCTCGAGCCCGCCGCTCTCGACGAAGCGGGCATCCAACTCCCCATGGACATATCATCACCTGCTACAGAGCTCGCCTCCACAGCCACGATCGGAGCCTGATCAAACACACCAGTCTGCTTCTACGACTCCGGATCATCCTCGTTCAACATCTCCGGCTGCAAACCGCACTCCCCGACTAAGAACCGAAGGATCTTGTCGCGCCAGAGGGGAAAGTCGGCCATGTGCTCGCACACTGACACTCCTACGTCGCCAATCCCGCTGTGGAACTCCGATTCTCTGGGCAGACGTAGCGTCCGAGACGGGCGGCAGCTGGCCTGGGTCCCGCCAGCTCCTGAGCTGGGAGGGCCGTCCTGGCTCTCCGAGTAGCCCGCCGAGAACTCGTCCCAGGCCGGGAGGCGGAAGGAGTTCACCACAATCGATCCTCCTGGCGGGGCCGGCGGCGCCTGGTCGTTCTTCAGCGCCATGTGGTAGAGGCTCTCCAGTACCTTCAGGCGGTCGCGCATGCCATCCTCGAGCGCGGCCGGCGGGTGCAACGTGATAAACCCCGTGCTGGCGTGGTACACCAGCGTGATTCGCGAGACGCTCTGCTTGCCCGACAAGCGGTCGTCCAGGACCCCCGCGCGGATCTGCACCTTGACCTTGTTGCTGGAGCCCTCGATGCTGCCCTCGCCAGCCTCCGCCAGGCCCTCCAGGAAACTCCTCACGCCCTTCGCCGAGTTCTTCGCCTCGATCTTCACCATCTGCTCGTAGGCTCTTCGCGGGCTGTGGGGCCGCGAACTGCTTCCGCAGGGCACGCTCTGCCGATGCTTGAGCCAACACACTGCTCTCATCGGCGACCTGGTAGGTTCCGTGGCGGACGCAGCTTCGGAGAAGATCGGCGGGCTCCGCCTTATCCTTCGTGAGACAGTCCGCCAGCATCAGAGACGTGGGACCCCAACGCAACACAGCCCCAAGACGTGCCAGACTCTCCTTACTTATTGCGATGTCTACTGCACACCTCTTATCGTCAATCCCAGACGGGCTCCCCATCTTGCACACGTTGTCGTAGATACTCTTGCAGTCGATGACCGCCAGACTCTGAAACTTACTCAGATACCGGGCCCGATCTCCCAGAGTGAAGCCTCGAAAGAACCCCATGGCGAAGAAGCACATGACCCACTCCAGATGTCCGAGACCGTCGGTCATCACAGACGACCCTCCCGCCAACGTGGACTTGACCACCCGCTTCACCCGATAACTCCTCCAGATCAAAGGGCTCCACGGGGAAACCCTGCCTAGCTCCATGTCCCTGTTAGTCACCCCGATGATGTAGCCCCCCTGCGTGTGGCCCATGTTGGACATTTCTTTCGACGAGTAGTCTGAGTGGAGGATGAAGATAAGCTCGGCGATCGGGATCGAGGGGTATCGGATCTCGAGGTCTGCAAACTGCTGAGCACGACGAGCCAACATATTTCCTTTCCTGATGTCACCGACGGTGGGGTGAGGCATCTTCTGTTGGTTCGAACTCACGAGGATGCTGAGGTCTGGCCGGGTCTGAGTCGCCAGCCAGTTCCCCCGCTGGTTGAGAGAGATGAAATCTTTTATTTTTGACGGGACCGCCAGAGCAGCGGCACTTGCATGTCGGCGGGTCGACACCCGCTCCATCTCCTCAGACGCGTACTGGTGCTGCGTCTGCACGATGGTGTAGTCGGGGAGCTGCCGCAGCCGCGACCCGACAAACTCTGCCTCCTTCTCGTGCCACTTGCGATAGGGAAAGCGGCACCTCAGCTGCGACAAAGCCTCGGCCCACTTAGATCCCCGGCCTCCGAACACGCCGTCATCCACATGTTGGCCGATGACCCCACACAGGTCGCCAGGCCGAGCCACTCGAAGAGGCTCTGCTCCTTGGCCGTCGATGACGCGGTACTCGTCGAGGTCGAACTCCACGGACTCGCCGACGTCCTCGAACAGCAGCAGCACGCACGGATCCATGGGATGCTGCACGAAGCCCAGCTTCTCGATCAGGAACTTGCTGAAGGTCAGCCACCACAGCTGAGGCTGGTCGCTCCTGCCGTAGCCGTTGATGACCTCGCAGAGCTGATCCCCGTGCATCCCGTCCGGCAGGAACTCCGACGGCAACGAAACGTAGATCGTGCCGTGCTCTGCCGGGGCCAGCGACGCGTCCGTCTCGAGGAAGGCCCCCTCCACGTCCCCGATGGCCAGCGGGAACTTGGCCGAGGCGATAGTCTGAAGGACGAACGCCCTCCCGTTCGAGGACAGCGTCGGGGCCTGAGTGCGGCCCGCCTTCACCAACTCCAGGAGATCTGGGTCCTTGAACCCCTGGATGGTCATCCTACACTTGACCACCACGTTGCCCTCCTCGTCCTCTTTCTCCGTCAAAACGGGTCGGGGCTTCATAATGCGATCAGGCTGGGTAGACCGCAATCTCCTCGACTCCTCGAGCGGAATGGGGCGCCACGCCTGGGTCTTCTCGATCAGCTTGCTGTACTCCTTGGCGTAGCCCTGCGCGATCTTGGCCAGCCCGTCCTTCGAGCACCAGCGCGGCTCTCGCCTGTCGAGCTCTCGCCTGCCTCTGGCAAGCAGGACCTCCTCGGTGTCCACCGCCAGGATCTCGTCATCGTCGTCGCTGTCGGGCGAAGCGGTGACTGTCAGGACTGACTGCACACGCTGCTGCTTGGGTCGCCCAGGCCGGCGAGCCGACAGGCTGCGCTTCGGGGCGACACTCGCCCTCGCCGCCTGGGGGACAGGGTCCACACACCCAGGAGGCACCGGCACCTCGCTCTCGACGCGCGGGCGCTTCGCCTCCTCCACAGACGTCTTGCACCGCAGCCGCTTCCGAACCTCAGCCGGCTCAGAGTCGCCAGAGGCCCCAGTGGATCCAGCATTGCCTTGATCGCCCTCCGTCTCCTCGTTAGGCCAGTCACCCGGCTCATCCTCTGGGGCCGGGATCTCGGCGGAGTCGGCAGCAGGCGGCTCGGCTCCGGCAGGTGGTGAGGCCTCGGGTTGTGGTGGGGCCTCAGGTGGTGCCGGCCGAGGGTCGCCTCCTGCTGTCTCTGGGGCAGGCTCCTCCTCCTCAGCGGCCTCCGGCGGCCGAGCGTCAGCGGTGATGTCCGAGTAGAACTTCTCCTTCATGTCGTCAAGGTCGACGGTGTGAGTCCGCAGCGACGACTCCACTAGGCGCCATGCTGCCCTCTCCTCCGAGTTGGCCGGGCGCAACTGCTCTGGAGAGGCCTTCAGCACGCTGCCCGGCACGGCGATCCAGTAGTTGCCGCGGACCGCGCCCATGCACGCGCCAGGCCTCCAGCGGTAGTGGGCTCGTCGCCCAGCCACCTTCTTCACATTGCGCCAGACCGCCACCATGTCACCAGGCTGGTACACCACGAGCCTGCGGGGCCGCGCGTCCAGGGCCAGGCGGGTCGCCTGCTTGTCGTTGTAGCTCAGGACTTGTCGCCTGGCCACCGCACGGACCCGAGCAGCGAACGCGGCAGGCGGGTCATGCAGGACCGCGCTGTTCGCCACGATGTCCGGTGAGTCCACCAGCAGGTCCTCGGGCACCTCCGGGTTACGCCCGAAGACGATCTGGGCCGGGCTAACCCCGCCGACACTCAGGAGGGAGTTCTTGGCCTCCTGCACCTGCGCCACGCACTCGCGCCACTCTCCGCGGTCCTGGGGCTGGACCTCGGCGATCACGGCGCGGAGCATCTGGGCGAACCATGGCCCATGTCGCTCCACCTTCCCGTTCTGTCCTTGGCGCTGCCCGCCGTGTCCAGGATCGTAGTCCCGTCCCGCCCCATTCGCTCCCGCGCTCGGGGGCGCGGGGAGGAGGAGGAGGAGGAGGAGAGGGGAGGACGAGGGGGAGGAGGAGGAGAGGAGGAGGATGGGGAGGAGGAGGAGGAGGAGGAGGGGGGAGGAGGAGGAGGAGGAGGAGGAGGAGGACGAGGGGGAGGAGGAGGAGGAGGGGGAGGAGGAGGAGGAGGAGGAGGACACGTGGGGCTTCGCCGGGTCGAGGCGGATCCACTTCGGGCGCAGGTGGGGCCGGGTCCAGTGGTCTCGGTACAGGCGCAGCCAGGTCAGCTGCCACCTCGTCATCGCCCTCATCGAACGGAGTCATGGATTGCAGCGACGATGTATCACACACGATGTTGAGTGCCTTGACGATCTGATCGGGCATCCAACCCGGGAGCTCCTTCACGTCCATGCCGATGGACCTCAGAGGAGGTTGCGCAATGTCCGGTGCAGCGGGACGAACTGACTTCGGGTCTGCCTTGACGTCGCACTCCGGGCAGCGGAACTCCGCGGCCATCTTCAGGGCAGCCTCGGTCGCGTTAGCATGGCGTAGATGTCTCATCATGGTAGGTACCGGGGCGTGGCCGAGATTGACATGTAGACGTCGCAACCCTGCCTCGATGGTCTGTGGCCGACCATGGTACAGGTCGTCCCGGGTGAGGCGCTCCTTACCCTCGACGCCCGCCTCCTCGTCATCCTCCTGGTCACCGACCCCCATGGCCTCCGCCTCGTGGACGGTCGTCTGGCGGGCGTGGCTGTGGGTCTCCATCCTGGCACGGTAAACTCCTCGCACCAGCGCCCTCGCCAGCCTGTCCGGGTAGATCTGGGACCAGACCGAGCGCCTCATGCCGCCAGCACTGTCCATCACGTCCTGGTGCTCGTGGCCGCCCCGGCACTGGCGGTCTACCCCCTCGGCCACCTCCGGAAGGTCTGAGGCGAAGCGCCAGACCTTGGCGAGGGGTACTCCAGACACGAGGTCCAGCTTGCCAAACCTGCACGCCGCTGCCTCCGCGATGAAGGGGGAAAACTCCGTGAGAAAGTGAGTCATCTCCTTCAAGCCCCATGCCGAACTCCCTCGGGATTGCTCGAGTATGAAATGCTTCCCACGCATCATCTGCCACACTGCAATCACCAAGCACAAGACAATGAAAGAGACCGCCTCCTGAACCTCTTGCTCAAACCTCTCAGGATCCTTGCGTTTGTCCTCGGACGTGAGAGCCTGCAACGGCGACAGCTTACCACAGGGGGGACTGCACGACACGAGGAACGGATCTTTGGTCTCCAGGTCATGGAAGAGCCGGGAGACGTCCTCGCGCTGGCGAGCATCCCAACCCGTCTGCAAATCGTACGCTCCGCCATCCTCGAACCCAAACTCACTGGCCCACTTGGTCAGCCTCGGGGGGGGAAACACCTCCATGATGACAGGTCTCCGCGAACTCGCTTGATTCACTACGCACATCTCATCCATGGCCTCAGGGCTACGGCCCGGCCCTACTGAAAATCCCGGTCCACGATGGGGACCGCGGACGAGCCGTCGAGTAGCACCTCGTAGTGGCCGCCGCGGGTCGTCTGGAGCAGCACGCGGACGCCCAGCTTCTGGAACGCCAGCTCGTCCTTCTCCATGTCCAGCGTGCAGCCCAGCTTCTTCAAGAGGGGCTTACTCAACAAGAGGCCCGCCTTCCCCGGAACCACGTACACGTCGACCATCTCGATGTGGTCGCCGAGCCTCCACGGGATCTTGCAGATGCCGATGGAGTGCTGCTCGTCGCCGCTGAACCCCTTGAACGTGACCACCTTGTGGTCCTCGTCGATCTCAATGTCGTTCCCGGACACCTTGATCGGCTCCCTCAGCGTGTCCAAGCCGATCAGGGCCCGCGCGCAACCTGGGTCGATCACCCCGGCGCCCGGCGAGTGCACCATGAACGTCTCCGCCTCGTCGTCGTCGTCGGCGTCCTCGTCGTCGTGGTCGGCGATCTCGTCTACCTCCTTGCGCAGACGTCTGAAGTGATCCTCGGTCAGCTGGTCCCTGAGGCTCCTGTCGTCTCACGTCGCCAGGATCTCCTTTATCTCACTCCAGGGGTCGGCCTCCTTTTCCTCAGCGAAGAAACTCTCGACGAAGCCGGCCCCGAACTTCTGGCCAAAGCGGCCCTTGCCGCCACCCTTGCCAGCTCGTTTCGGGCACTCCTTGCTGAAGTGGCCCACCTGCTTGCATGCCCAGCAGCGGACTCGAGCGGAAAACCTCTTCAGATCAGGGGCCTGCGGGGGTGGTAGGCCACGTTTCTTCCGCTCCTCTGCGACCGCCGCCCGGGTCTCCTTCCACGTCGCCAGCACCTGGATGGCCTCGTCTTCCTCCATGGGTTCCTCACGATCATGCTCGACCTCCGCCAGGAACGCTTCTATCTCCTCTGGGGAGCCGGCCGCGGGAGGAGTCTCCTCGCCCGCCGCCTCCCACACGTAGTCGTCCTCCACTAGGTGCACGCTGTGCTCGGGCAGCACCTTCGGGTAGACCGTCTTCAGCGCCAGGGCCAGTTTCTCGAACGTCCACTGCCTTTCGCTGGCCGCGAGGACGACGGCGCGCCGGTCCCCGCCGAGGCGAGCGCCTCGAAGAAGGAGAAACCCTTGAGCGACGTCCGGAATCTCCACGCCCTCCTTCTTGGCCTTCATGAAAATCGTCTGGGCTCTGCCCACGTACGCGCTGGTGAGCTCCGCCTTCTCTATCTTCAGACCGAACACGGACTCCAGTGCATCTCCCACTCGGTCTGCCGCTTCTCGCTCTGGGTACCGTGCGTCCAGGACGGCGAACAATGCTTCCTCGCCGCCGTCGACCGCCAACTCGTCTAGCTCCACATGCTCCAGGGCGTCCACGGCCGTCCCCTCCAAGAGGGTGTACAACATGGGGCCGAAGGTCTCCGACTTACCTCCCCGCCCCTTCTCCACCAATAATCTCGCTCGTGCCCATTTCTTCCAAGCCTTGTAGTCCTGGACTGCAGCTGCTCCTTCTCCGGAGAATCGTCTATCACGAATGCTGCTTCCTCCACTGCTGCCTCCGTCCGCCATTGGCTGTACTCAGGGCTGTGGCTCAAGCTAGTGTCAAAGCCCGAGCGGTAGATGAGGGGTCCTCCGGACCCTCTGGGGAAAGTGTGAGGGCTAGCTTGTTCTCCTCTCGCGGGTTCCCCACCGCGAGTCTCCAAGCTAGCTAGTGC